ATTTAAAATCCAGGATTTGAAAGCAGTGGTTCAACTGTAATGCACACCATTGATAAAAACAGAATGGTAAAACCACATTAAAAAGGCTAAAAACGCTTATTAAAATTTTTTAAAAACCTGTCAGTCGTACAAAATCCATAAAAACGTGAACACACACACTCTCAGGCAATCTGCAAAAAGGACACTAATTTCAACCCCCAGGACTGATAACTGATAAAAACGAATTTGAAGCGATGGCACCGTGAAGTAGCCTATCCTCCACTGAAGGTCACCAGTCTGTTTTTTCTTATAGGAGGCTCCACTGAGGTTTTTGTCCTCCGAATTTGCCAGGCCACACACTTATCGCTCTATTGTGGAGAGTTCTCTTTTTTAGGATTTTGTACAACTTTTGTACAATGTTTATGGGTCCGTCTTGCACAAATCCATCCTTGGGATTTGTAGCAGAGGACCGCTGTCCTCCTCAAAGTCCGGATCCATAGACACGTCCGGGACTGGGTCATTTGGGTCAGGCAGGCGCTTTTCTGCAACATGCATATATTGGAGCCGTCTCTCTCCAGCTGTCATCTGCTCTTTTAGCTGTTCCAGAAAGGCTACCCGCACCAGATGCCGCAGGATCACCGCTCCCAACCTGGACAGCGTTTCAGGAAGGCCCAGCACGGAGCTGTCGTGGAAGTCCAGCCTTGCTCCACACACCAGCGGTTCTCCTAAAAGCCAATGGAGAGAGTTATGCGTTTTGGATCTGTGCAACTTAAAAAAAGCACATGATTGAAAAACACTTTGATAAAATTGAGGCAACCCTCTTATCTTTAAGAGACTGAAGTCTGTTAAAAACAGAGCAGATTTCATCCCCAGAAAGTTTACACGTCTGAGAATGCAGCTGGCCACGTCCCTCCACACAGGGTTTCCTGTCAGGAACTTCTGAAGGAACTGTAAATGAAAAGTGGCTGTTCTAGCGGCCAGGTGGACAAGGCCCTGCCCCCCTCCTCTCTTGGTAAAAACAGGACAGACTATGGCACCCAATGTCGACCGCTCCAGAAGAAGTTTACCAACTCCGATTGTATTTTTATGTGTAAATTGGAAGGTGGGTCTAAAACAGAGAGCTTGTGCCACAGCTGTTATGCGGTTAGCTCAGTTGTTGCCCTGTGTCTGACAGCAAAGAGTGGATCAGCTTCCTCAGACCCTGCTCCCTCTCCAGGCTGAAAAAAAGCTAGAGGGAGCATCCATCTCTGTGATGTTCTGGATCCGAGATCTGACCAATAGGCCTTGGACTTTAGACTCCAGCAGGTTAGAGCTAGCCATTTAGTTTTGAGAGCTTCAATGTGCTCTCGATTTCCTTTGGATCCGCTAAGTTGTTCTAAGTCCACGATGTTCATCTCCAGATCGCTGATAGATCTGGTAATGTCACGAGTGACGTTGAGAGTATGCTGTTGACTCAGCAGTTTTATCTGAACTTTTCCATCGTCCCACCACTGTCTTAGACAAGTAAAATCTGACTTCCTCTGTCTAAAACCAGTCCCTGGTGTATATATATATATATATATACAGTATAAACCTTAGATTATTAACGGGCTCGATGCACAACTCAATTACTTCCTGAACCTAAAGCAGCTCTTTTGTTTCCTGTCCTTCGTTACGGGATAAAATGATTAATCCAGGTGTTATTCAGTTCATCCAGTAGAAAAAGACAGGAAACAAAAGAGATGCCCTGTGTTCAAGAAGTAGTGGATTTGTGCATAGCGGCCATTACTTAAAAGTTCTAAGCTTTCTAAGAAGTAAAAGTCTGAATTTTTAGCTACCATGGGCAGATCAAAAGATCTATAATAATAATAATAATAATGAATTTTATTTATAATGCACTTTACATTTGACATCAAATCTCAAAGTGCTACAAAGTGCTACATTTAAAAAAGGGAAAATTAAAACAAGTTTAAAAGACCATAACATTAAAAACAGTGTAAAAATCAATACATTAAAAGGCATACGTAGCCTATTAAAAAAAAATATTAAAATCAACAATTGTAGGTATTTCTA